AGAAGATTCAACTTGTTGCTTTAGATCGTATTTTGGCAACAATTCACAATTTCTGAATTATCTCAGAACCTTCATCTACCTTTGTGTAAGTTAAATATCGTGGAGTGATCAAGTTGTGGATTCTTCTCTGTCATTGTCCACGTATAAGAAGAAATGCTCTGGTGTTTAAACATTTGCTTTGTTTCAAACTTGTGCTTTTAGTTTTTCCTGCTGTATTCATACAAACATACTAATATGTTTTCAATTTTCTCTTWTATACCGTTAATAAAACCTGTATTGAAGATTTTTTTTTCTTTGTATTTTTTGTTTTATTTGSATGTGGTGGAGCCATAACTGGTTTCTACCACACCCCACATGTATTTTCATATTTAATGTATGTATTTTGTATTTATGTTGTATGTTTGTATTCACCTTCTGTGAAAGAAACCGAAATAAAGATGTGTAGTTATTTGGTTCTCTACGGGGGTTTGCAATGAGTGAGCAGGGGACAGTGAAACAATGAGTCTCAGGATGTGGTTTGGCTCGTTCTTGTTTTACTGCAGAGATGCGTGCTCGCTCTGTGCAGTGACATCTCACCGCCCTGTGCAACCTCTTCATGCCTCGTGGTAGCAAAAACAACACCGGAAATAGTTCAATGCTTTGTGAAGTTCCATCACCACTGATGAGTCGAAGCGTTCAATAATGTCACAAAGCATTGAACTACAGCCAGTTCATCACTTTTTCGCTATTTGCCGTGTATTTCTGTATTTGCATGTGTTGTGTCGTCAAACTGATGAAGTCATTTGCAGTGCGTTGAGCTCTCTCGGCTTCCGTAGACCAAACCAGAGCAAAGAAAAAAAGCCCACTGTAACTTCCTCTTTATCCACTTTTTACGTTTCATTTTCAACATCCAAGCTGTAAGTAAAGCCTTCTCTGTGTTTTGGGTACTTCCTTGTTCTGTGTCTTCAGGGTGGAGGATGAAACAAAGTTGTGACATTAACACTGTTTTATCAGCCTGTTCTTTCCAGAAGTAAAGACATGTATATACACTGTGTGTCTATGGACACAAGTTATATAGTTCAATGACGACCATGATCCCTGTCCCTGAATCCATCTACATGTCAGATCGCTCATGTTTTCTCTCWGTCAGAGATTTTTCTGTATTTTACATGTTGCATACTTCCCAGATCACAGTCCCCTTCTCTGTGATGTGAAGCTCCCCCTCCTCCCACAATCTGCTTCAATCGTGCAGCATGTTTAACATCTCTGACCTCACTTCTTCATTTTGA